GAATTACCGTGTTATGTGGTACTCAGCCCTTTGAGGAGCATCCAGGCCATTTTCCAAAGCAGCTGCATCATCTTACACTCCTGTTGGCACTGCCTGCAGATTCCAGTCTCTCGACGATCTTGTTGGCACTTGTTATCTTTTCTGTAGAATTCATCCTAATGGGTGTAAAGTGGTCTCTCATCGTGTCTTCATTTCTTTCCCTAGTGTTCAGTGCCATCGAAGGTCTTTTTCATGCCTGTTGTACTTTTTTGTATCTTTAGAGATTTGTCTTCTTGATCTTTTGCTCGTTTTGTAATTAGATTATCTGTCCTTTTATGACTGAGTCAGGAGAGTTCTTTGTATGTGAGAGGTAAGGCCCCTTATCAGATATGTCATCCTGAGACTTTTCTCCCTTTGTGTCTTCCTTCCACTCTCTTTCGCTGTTGTTTTCACTTATTTTATTATTTTATGTGTGTGTGCACACACAGGCCCATGGAGGCCAGAAGTGGGCACTGGTTCCCTCGGAGCCACCTGATGTAGGTGCAGGGATCCAAACGCCAGTTCTTTGACAGCAGTGATCTCTCCCGCTGTGACTGCTGGAACAGGATCTCAGGCAGTCCTGGTGGTCCTGACTGGAGCTCCTGGTATAGCTGAGGCTGGTCTCCAGCCCCACACCCGGCTGCCTCTCCCTCCAAAGGTCTGGGGTTACTGGCACACCCAACACTGAGATCTCTCTTGTCTCAAGCTTTTTTTGTTTGTTTTGGTTTTGGTTTTTTTGTTGTTGTTTTGTTTTGTTTTTTAGACAAGATCTTTCTTTTTAGCTCTAGATGGCCTGGAAGTCACTCTGTAGACCAGGCTGGTCTCAGACTGAGTTCTGCCTGCCTCTGCCTCCCCAGTGCTAGTCTAGTTTTGTTTATTTAGATAGTTGAGCCATTTTTTTTAGTTGATCCCCTCTTATGGAGTTTAATGACTTACTTTGAAAAGTCTTTTAATCAAAAGATGATAATTTTACATCTCTCTGCAGTATAGCCTGATCTAACTTATATATTGTATCAATGAACTAGGATAGCTATCATTATAAGCAGGTAATAATTTCCTGTGATAAGAACATTTGAAACCTCTTCTGGATATTTTGGTAAAAGTCTCTAACTTAATTTTTAAAAAGCTCATTTATTATGGGCTAAGGAGATGGCTTGTTAAAAGCACTTAGCCTGAAAGAATAAGGACATGGTGGCACACACTTGTAGTCCCAGCACTGGGGATGCAGAAATAAGGCTACTCCTGGGAGTCGCTGGCCAGCTAGACTAACCTAATCAGTGAACCACAGTTTCAGGAGAGACCCCCATCTCAGGTGGACGGTGGAGAGATAGCTCAGCGGTTGAAAGCCATGGCCATGCTGGATGTGGTGAGAAATACCTACAGTCTCAGCATTTGGGAAGTAGAGGCAGGCGGATCTTTTGTGAGTTCCAGGACAGCCAGGGATACACAGAGAAACCTGTCTTAAACAAACAAACAAAAAACCTGGTTGCTTTTCCAAAGGATCTGGGTTCAGTTCCAAACACTCACATTGCAGCTCACAGCCATCTGTAACTCCAGTTTCAGGGGATCTGACTCATCTTTGGGCACCAGATACACATGTGGCACACAGACCCACACATGCAGGCACAACACCCATACACATAAAATAAAAATAAATAAATCTTAAGAAGAACTAGGTGGGGAGTAACTGAAGAAGGTGCCTAATACTGCTCTCTGGTTTCTCTGTGCAGCATAAACACACACACATTAAAAAACAAAACAATTTATTCCTTTCTTTTCTTTTTAAGTGAATTAATTTTTTTAATTTTTTTAATATTTTATATATATATATATATATTTTTTTTTTTTTTTGGTTTTTCGAGACAGGGTTTCTCTGAAGCTTTGGTGCCTGTCCCAGAACTAGCTCTTGTAGACCAGGCTGGCCTCAAACTCCCAGAGATCCGCCTGTCTCTGCCTCCCGAGTGCTGGGATTAAAGGCGTGCGCCACCACCGCCTGGCTTTAAGTGAATTTTTTTTAGAAAGATTTGTTTATGTGTATGAGTGCACCATCTGCACGTGTGCCTGCACATCAGAGGAGGGCATCAGATCCCATTAGAGATGGTTGTGAGCCACTATGTGGTTGCTGGGATTTGAACTCAGGACCTCTTGGAAGAGCAGCCAGCATTCCTAACTGTTGAGCCATCTCTCCAGCCCAGCCCCCCTCTTTTTCTTTTAAACATAATGATTTGGGTATTACGTCCAAGAAGCCTTTGCATAAGATTTTCCTTTGCCTTCTTTGAGAAATTATGAAATATTAGCTCTAATACTTACTATGCTTCATTGTGAGGTTCTTCTGTTGGTTTGGGGTGTTTGGGTTTGGTTTGGTTGGTTGTTCAAGACAGGGTTTCTCTGTTTATTCCTGGCTGCCCTAGAACTCACTCTATAACCAGGCTGGCCTTGAACTCAGAGAGCCACCTGCCTCTGCCTCTCACATGCTGGGATTAAAGAGGTGCGCCACCCCTACCTGGTGCTTTGTCTTTTTAATGTGATGTGAAATAAGGGTCTAAATTCATATTTATTTGTATCATGGCTCACTCTCTAAGAGTATGCTAAGTGATAAAAGCAAATTTAAAAGTAATTATTGTAGTTCAAGCCATTCATACATAATTTAAAGGCATGAAAATGTTATATTCATTTTCATGAATATAATACATGGGTTTAAAAAAAAGTTCCACACCAAAATCTCTGGTAAGAAAAACAGGAAGTTTCCAAAGGGAAAAATGAAGGTACTGACCCTGTGAAGAATTGGTGGTAATGGAGTCTTCAAGTCTGTCTGTACTATTTTAGATTAAAATAAATTGTATGTAATTATTCATTTGGGGTGAACTTATACTCAGTCATTTTCTGAGCCTTTATATTTCTTAATTAAAGCACACAGCGCTGGCATTACGGTATTCTTGTAATCGCAGTACTTGGGAGCTAGAGGCAGGAGGAAGAGGAGTCCAAGGCTGTCCTCAGTGACAACAAGTTTAGGGCCAGCCTAGGGTACGTGAGACACGCACACACAGAGGTTCAGCAAGAATCACAGAGAACAGGGCAGAGTGGCCTGCTCCCGAAATCCCAGCATGGAGCCGCAGCAGGGGGATCTTTCAGTTGAGGCCATATCTCAGAAAACAAACCTAGAAAACAGGAGCGATAGAAAACAAAATAGTCCGTTCAGCACCCACACAGCTGCACAGGAGGGCAGGCGCTGTCTGTGTGGCGTTTCTGGGCTAGATCCCCAGGGGAATTCGCAGGAACTTGTGCTGTCCCTTCTGTTCTCCCAGTTTTGCTCCCACAAAATCCACCGACCTGACCCCCCTGGGTAGTTTAACTGTCATACCCACTGCTCCAAGCTGCCTCTTAGGGGTTCAGTCAAGACGGAAGTGAACATCTCTTTCCCAGCCTCTGGCCATCAGAAACAGTGAAGTGCACAATGAACGCAAACGTGGACGTTTCTGCAAGAAGCGCATGGCCGCAGGAGTAGCTGCTGATGCCCTGGGTGAACAACAAATAAGGTTTTCCCACGGCGGAGTGAGTGGCATTCTTGTTCCAGACCCAGGAGAACTGGAGAGGGAAAGTGCACCTCCGTTCGGAGTGTTCTCAACTCGGTTATTTTTAAGAGAGAAGGATATTCCTGGACTGACAGACAGACACTACTGTGCCTCAGTGGTTGGGACCCAAAAGAGCTAGCAGAATCTGAAAACTTAAAAGATGATGTCCGCCAATGTTGTCAGAAAACCCTTAAACAAAGGAGGTAAGAAGCCCAGGACCAGTGCACCCAAAATTCAGCGCCTTGTTACTCCATGTATCCTGCAGCACAAAGGCTCTGAAGAAACAATATATTTAAGCAAAATAAGGAGGCTCCCAAACTTGCTAAGCTTTTGGCCAAGAGAATGAAAGATACCAAAGAGAAATACCAGGAACAGATTGCCAAGAGCTATAGGCTGTCCTCACCAAGAGCTTTTACTTCCAAGTCTGAGTCCAGTCAAAAATAAGCCTTTAAGAGTAATGAATAGCTGGGCGGTGGTGGCGCACACCTTTAATCCCAGAACTCGCAAGGCAGAGGCAGGCGGATCTCTGTGAGTTTAAAGCCAGCCTGGGCTTCATAGTTCCAAGATAATCAGGGCTATATAGAAGAGACCCTGCCAAGACATAGGGAGGGGGAGAGGAATAAATGATCAGCTTGGGGGAAAAATCCAGAACGATACCAGGCTTTCCTGAGGAAGGTCCCCCTCTAGTGAGCATGTGGCCGCTCTCTCCTGGTCCTTGGCTACCCAAACAGACCTCCCTGAGCAGGTGTGGCAGTTTTGCTGGCCAGGCCGAGGAAGCACTCTACAGCTGAGCCTCTGACCGGCGGCTACTGGGGTGGGATCTCGAGCGTGAGAAGGAAGGCTGCTGTACAGCCGCGGAGCGGAAGGGTTCTTCTGCCACGGCCCCTGGCAAGCTGTGTAATTCCTCCCACACACGCTTGAGAAGCCTCACACGTGATCTTGATTTTCATCTATAAAAGTTATATTAAAAGATGGGCAGTTTCTACCCACAGGACTTGTGGGATCAGATGAGGATGGGTACAGAATGTTGACATGCAAGCACAAGGATCTTTGTGGGGTTTTTTGTTAAGTTTTTTTTCTTCTTGGATCCTCCTGGATGCAGCCTTTCTCCTTGCCACATGCTTCCAACCTCTCTCAGTCTCTTCTTTTGGTTTTGATTTTCACCCCGTAGTTTTGAACTTTGTCTGTAGCCCAGCCCTTTGAGTTCCCAGCCATCCTCCTGCCTCCTAAGTGCGAGGTCTCAGCCTGTTCTTAAAATGCTCTTACTCTCACACTGCCCTCTTCCCTCTTCTTTCTCTGAGTCCTGGCCATTTTTTTTTTTTTAAGCATGGTCCTGGCTGGGAAGTGCTTTCCTCTTTTGTTAGAGAGATCGGCACCCAAAATGACATGTTTTCTCTCCCATCCTCCCAGGCTCAAGCCACAGGGTCGCCTCACACATCACCCACTCATGGAGGTGGCCGCCCTATGCCCATGCCCATGCGTTCCACGTCTGCAGGCTCCACCCCTACCCATGGCCCACAGGATTCACTGAGTGGAGTTGGAGGAGACGTACAGGAGGCCTTTGCACAAGGTGAGTTTCCAGGCAAGTCTGTGGAGAGCTGAGGGGCTGAAATCACATACCGGATCCCTGCCAGGATTTTTCCAGCTTTCCTTTTGTGCTCTTGACTTTGGAGGATCAGATAACGTGGCCTTAGTAATCAGATTTACAGTATAAATAAGTTATGCGCTGGGTCCTTCTCCATGATAGGCTGGTCTTCCATGGGAGGTCTGCAGGCACGTGTGTGAAGACAACTGGCCTCCTGGGTTCTGAGCTCTAGCCTGAAGGAAATGCCTCGCCCTTTGGACTTTGCTCCTCACACATTTGTCCCCGAAGGTCCTTAGAATAAATAAGAACAGGAAAAGAGGTGATTTCCATAGGACCTAAGCATGCCAAAGATCAGTAAGTGTGCACTTGCCACGGCGGCCGACTGAGGAACCAGGGACCTACAATCTTAAATAATGGGCAAGGGAGTCTGGAGGGGAGGGAACGGGGACAAAGAAATAGGAGGCAGTGGTGTTAGAGAACTTAGCCCCTCACCCTGAGACTAAGGAACTTTGTGGGGCAACACTAAGCCAAAACTCTGCTGTGGTGCCTTCGAAGCATTGGACTTGCCAGGCCCCTGCTCTCCCGGTGGAGAAGATGGATGTTCCAGGAGCCTGCAGACCTGCGGTAGTCCCAGCTTCCCTAGTCACCTCTGCACCCGGGCTCCAGGGCCTCACTGCCTGGGGCCTCTCTCGGCGCCCTTTCCCATGCTCACCCATCTGCACTGCCATCTGCTCTGACTCCTCAGGTACAAGGAGGAACCTCCGCAATGACCTGCTGGTGGCTGCTGACTCCATCACCAACACCATGTCATCCCTGGTGAAGGAGCTTCATTCAGGTGAAACCCAGAGCTCCCCATCAGTCTCCACCTCCCCTGTGCCCACATCTTCCTGCCCTCTCCTACCACCGGGCACACAGCCCTTCCTGCCGCTCCGTTTTCCCTTCTAGGAGCACACAGGATCTTCACCCGGTGCCTCCCTCCCACACGTGATCACATTTTATATTAAGAACAGTCTGAAGGAGCAGACACAGCTCCTCAGTGCAGCCAGATCCCCGCCTCACTCCCTGTCTCCACCTACATTTTGTCCACAGTCTCTTTCCCTAGGGGCCGTCGCCTCATTCTGAAGCTATCCTGGATGTGGCAGCAGTCAGCACAAGCCACCTGTCTCTATTCCAGCTGCCCTCCGGCTTCCTGCTGTTTGATTCTGTTTAGAAACCCTGTCTTCTCCTTTTGTCCGTGACCAGGCTCTGATCTCACCTGAAGATCCCAGCTGCCGCTCCCTCCGTTCTTCACCTTTGGTATTATTTGACTTCTCTCTCCATCTCTCTATGACTCAGCCAGTGCAGTGGCTTCCCAGGGTCCTCTGCCTCACAGTGTTTCCCACAAAACCACCAAGTATCCCACAGCTCCATCAGGAATATAGTCACTCAGTGCTTAGGAGTTCCTTTGTAGCCTTGGCGTTCCTACGAAAGCTGCCATCCCCAGTGCTGCAGCGCTCACACCAAAGGCCCATCTGTGTCCTTTCTTACCCAAGGCAGTGTTTGTAAGAACTCTGCAGTGGCCTCTAGCAGGGCTGTCAAGCTAAAGCACAGAGCAGGGTTTCCAGGGACCGTTCAGACAGTCCTGAGGAAGGCACACCCAGGGTGTTTTCAGCGGGGGAAAGCATCTCCTTTTGGGCTGTCATTTATTTTTTCCACACCTCAGCCTTCAAGTCCTGTTTTCCTTCAAAAGAGATTACACCTGTGGCCTGATTGGCTTCCCAGCTCAGGTCTGTCACCCATTCTGCCACAGGCGATATGATTCCCTCACCCTCTCTCATCCTGTTTCTCATGCCCACACTGAAACCCAGCCCTCACTGTACAGGCACAGAGCTGGGGATGGGTGACCTCAGGATGACCTCACAGCTGATTAGAAAGCCCTTTCTCGAATATAGCTCCCTGATAGGTTTCACTTGGTGTTTTAGAGGGAATTTCTTAGGGATTTTTAGGACATGCAGAGAAAGCACAGTTAGAGTTTATGCAAAACGAGCAACTCACAAGCTCAGCACTCGAGAATGGGAATGTAACTCGATTGACAGGAACTGATCAGGCATGGCAGTGCATGCCTGCCATCCCCAATACTTGGGAGGCTTATGAATTCAAAGCCCACCTAGGCCATATGGTGGGGGGAAGGGGCAAGGACATCAGCCAATATGGAAAGCTGGTTTTAATCAAATTGCGTTATTTAGGTATATTAGTGATCCTGTTGTACAACCTCCTTGTTTTAGAATGTGGGATCTTTTCGAAAAATTACTTGCTTGCAATCACACAGCATGCAGAGGCAAAGCTAGTTCTAGAGCTTGGGTGTAGAGAAACATGGAGCCAGGGCTCTGAGCTGACCCAGGACAGACTACAGGGAAGTCTCTGTGAGGTTCCTTTTCCAAAGCACAGAAGCCTGTATCTGACACAGACAAATGCACACATGACCCAGCACCCTTGTTAAATATATAGATAAACCCTGTTCCTCAGTGGATGGGAGACGCATGGTGACTCCCTCGAAGTGGCTTCATGGGCCTTTATTAGGTTAGGAGTGGGTATCCAGGTCAGCTTTTCATACACCTACAGCCTGCATAGGACGCAATCTGTAATTTGTCTTCCCCATCTTCCAAAAAATATTTTCAACTAATGGAATCCTAGAGTTCAAAAGGATCTTAAAGATATTTCACTGAGCTTGCTGTCAATTTAAAAGCCTCCAGTTTGAATATTTCCAGGGAACTCATGTATAGCCAGGTCTAATCACTGGCGATTTCTTCCTTATTAGGGAACTGAAATCTTCCTTTCTATCATGGGTTATTTCCCGCCTAAAGCCACCCTAAGTCCAGACTTCCTCTCCAGGCCTCCTTTAGAATGTTTAGTGGTAGATAATGCGGTAACTCCCAAATTTTCTCCTTTTCTAGGAGATTCTACCCAATCCCTTTAACATGCATCAAATATGCCAGCTGGTGACATCATGCCCTCTGCTTCATGGATGTGCAGGGTTCCAATCAAGCATTGTCAGGGTGTGGAGCTGTTGGCTGTTGGGCATGGTCAAGGGACATGTGTACACCCTGGAGGCTGCTTGCTGCATTAGGTCTCTGCCTCAGGCCTCCAGCCTCCCTCACTGGTACTAGACCAAACAGTCACTGGCCTCCTTGGACTTGCTTCCACAGTAGAGGAAGGTGCAGAGAAAGAAGAGGAGATGCAGGATGAGAAAGTCAGGACCCCTGGTCTGAATGGGAGCCCAAGCTCCTTCCTTTCCCTTTGTTTCTGCCTCTCTTCTAATACTCTCTCCCCAAGTCTGCAGCCCCCTCAGTTCCTCTTGCCTGTTCTCCCAACTGCCTCTGAGGTGTGCCCACAGGTGGTAACGCCGGGCGATACTCACACTCTGGGATGCAAACAAGTCATAGAACATCGCCCTACTTCACAGGGTTGATGGTCTCTTTGGAGAAGCACAACTGAGACAGGCAGAGGAAGTGTGGGAGAAGACAGAGCAGCAGAAGAGGTGGATCAGAAAGTATTAAATGTCGGCTGGGGATTGCTCACCCGGCACACCTAAAGCCCATGCTAGACTCCCACACCACATAGACCACAGGAGCAGGGGCATGCCTGTAATCCCAGTGCTTGGCAGGTGGAGACAGGGGCATCTGAGATTCAGGCTCATTCTCTGCTGCAGAGTGAGCGTGAGGCCAGTGTGGCCTACATGAAGCCTTGTAGATGGTGTAGAAAACACCATTAAAGCTGGGTGTGTTGGCGCTCACCTTTAATCCCAGCATGCAGGAGGCAGAGGCAAGCAGATCTATGATTTTGAGGCCAGCCTGGTCTACGGAGCAAGTTCCAGGAGAGCCAGAGCTACCCAGAGAAACTCTTTCACAAAACTAAACACACCAAACCATAAATGTATAGCAAATAGTACTAAGGAAAAGACTTATAGGTTGGAATAGATGTGTTGAAATAGGAGCGGCGGCGGGGCTGCGTCCCCAACACCCCGGCCGCTTGGCTAGCTTATGCCCGAAATAACAACACACAAACTGTATTCATTTAAGAACTGCTTGGCCCATGAACTCTAGCCCTTACAGGCTAATTCTCGCACCTGGACTAGCCCATTTCTAATGATGTGTGTAAGCACCCCAAGGTGCGCTTACCGGGAAGAGTCTAGCCTCCGTCCATCATGGTGTCTCTGCTCCAGAGAGCAGAGCTGTCCGGTCTCTCTGGGAGCAGAGCAGAGTCTGACCTCACTTCCTCTTCCGCCCAGAATTCTATTCTGTTTACTCCTCCCATCTATGTTCTAAGCTGAGGCCAAGCAGTTGGTTTATTATAACTTAACCAATGAAATCAACAGATTGATATATGACACTCCCACATCATAGATGGCTTCCTGGAAGAATAAAGCAAGAAAGGAAGGTGTTGGTGAAGGACAATAATGCCTTCTTAGACTCTGTGTAGAAACTGTGTACTTGTTATATGGGAAGAGATCTGTGCTGAATGATCTCATGTAAAATCTCATGTGATCTTTACATTAAAATATGCAAATAAGACTATCCCCATTTTAGTAATAGGAAAATAGATTCTGGGGGAGTCTGTTCATACAGCCTCTGGGTGGGAATAAGTGGGCTTGAAGTGGGCTTTCTGACCCCAACCGTAATAGGTTTTTTTTGGGGGGGGGCATTGAAACAGTTTCTCAATGTACCAAGCTTCATATTCTTGTCATCTTTTAGTTTTATTTATTAAGCAGATAACAAAACCCTCTTGAGGCGTTTGAGAGTCTCCAGTTCTATCTATCATATATTAATATGTTGTTTTTCTCCGGAATGTAAACTCCCTAAGGCAGAGATTTTGGCCTTTGTTGTTGGTGATGTATTCCCAGTGTCGGGAATAGTGCCTGCCATCTAGTAATGAACCTAAGGAAAAGATCAGGGCAACATGATAGCCTTAAGTGAGGGGGAGTGGTCTACCAGCCTCAGGAGGTGAGGAGAGACCCATGCTGCCTCCTGGCTTCCTGCTAGACCTGGAGGTAGGTTTGTCACACAGCCCTGGAGGGGAAGAATTCTAGACAGCTCTCCGAGGCTCATTAACTGGGCAGGTTAATAAATGGCAGGACCTGGACTCACTCCAGGAGTTCCAACTCCAAGCCAGTGCTTTAGTCCAAGCAGAACAATTAGACCAAGCCAAGTGGGGAAGCCCCAGTGAGGTGTAAGGCAGTCTAGGGGGAACAGGTGGGAACCCTCTCAGGACAGTGGCTCTGTGGTGCCATTTAGCCCCTGGGATGGTACGGATAAGAGAGAGCATTTGCAGGCTCAGGGGCAAGGAGTTTGTCAGCAAGGGCACTGACATTGCCTAGGAGACAGGAGAAAACATTGTGTAAGTACAGAAACTATTAGAAGCCAAAGCGAGGCCTGGGAGAAATAGGCCACTGGGCATGAGTTTGTGGGAATTGCTGTCCTGGCCACACACCTCAGGCTGTCAGAGGAGAAACAGCCATTCGGAGGTCCAGGTCCAGATAAGAAGGCCATGAGGCAAGAGAAACTAAGATGTGCCTCTCGTGTAAACACCCACCCGCCCCAAACACATGTCTGTACCCCAACCAAACTCCAGCTTTGCTATGGAAATGTTTTTACTAAAGGCATAGCAGCTGCCACCTTGGCCCTCCCTTCCCGTGGCACACTGCTCCAGGTCCCTCCTCAGCTTCCCTCCGCCCCCCAAAGCAAGCCTAGAGCCCATCTTTGCCCTCCACTCTTGCCTTAGCCGTAGGAACTGGAGTGATTTCTGTTGGCCCAACCTCAGGGCCCTCTGTCTCTGTCACTGGCTGACCACCTTTCTGTCTGACTGGATGCTTGCTCCTAGCTCTTAGTATCTCTTGATCCCTCTAAGTGCACATCCCAGGGCCTGTCTGTCTGTGTGGAGACTGAGAGAATGCCTGAGCTTCTGTGGCTCTCAGGTGCCATCTCTAAGAGCAAGAGGGTAAAGAGTCGGGGTGCAAGATGAGGGAAGTTTGTTTTTGCTTGCCTCTAAACATTGTATGAGCCCTTGCAGATATCAAAATGTGGAGACATTCAGAATCAATAACTACCGATTTTACAGAGGAAGATTTCTCTTCTTTGGGGTGAAGTCAGGCTCACATGGGAAGCACAGCTCAGTCAGCTCCCGGCTCAGCACACATGGTGTCTTTAGCACACATGAACAGCACATGGGCTCTTTTGAAGAACTCTGACCAAAGCAGGCTTCCCAGCCATATTCACCCTTAGCTCTCACCTCTATCTGCCCTATCCTTGCTGTCTGAGTCCCAGAGAAGGATGCTGCTACTCTGTGGTACCCTTCCCTCTGAGCACCCCTTTATCCTGTGTGTAAAACAAGACCACACAGTGAGGCATAGATTGTCACCTCCTTTGGTTGCCCCAGTACTCCACATCCATCTGAGCCACTCCAGAGCTCCTGTGTCCTTCAGAATGTCCCTAGCGATCTAGTTTGTACACTGAACACGCCGATGCATATCTAGGCAGCAGCAACCCTCTCTGAGGACACACGTGGACTCAGAATGTCCAAGGGGGAGCTGGCTAGCAATGTTGTTCCAGAACATAGAGAAACAATGTTCCGCTTAAAACTGTTTCCACTTTGTTTTCCTTTCAGAACCATGCAGGCTCTGGTCTCTCCCCCTCCCCCACCCCTCATAGCCGCTCCCTAGAGTTGGTTTGATTTTTCTTCATAACATTCCCATGTCAGTTGTGGGTTATGAGTAACTGCCCTACCTCATTATCCCTGGCAGAAAAGCTCAATAGAAAGGGATATTTAAGGCTAGCCCCTGGGCCGGGTGGGTCGGGGAAGCCCCCTTAGAGAAGTCCAGGGGCCAGAGAAGAACCGGAGTGTGACCTCAGTGTTGTTTCTGCCTATGCTGCCACAGGTTAGCCAAGGAGCAGCCCGGACACAGGAAGCCCAGGTGAGTAGTGAGTCTTCGTCTTCCTCTTTTCCTTCTTCCCTCACAGGCCCCAAGCCAGAGCAAGCCTTACAGTTAGGATTTTCTCGAAAGAACCAATTCTGCCTTTTCCTCTGCTCCCGCACAGCTGCCTCCACTGGACCTGTTTACCAGGTTTCCAGGCAGTGGCTTGACTTACATTGCGTGTCTGTGGCCTGGCGTCACCAGTAGCACTGACTGAAGCAGGTGGCAGAGTAGCCACCTTCCTGGGCTTCCTCTGTTTCTGTTGTCCTGTCGTCTGTAGCCACTGTCTACCCACAGCCAGAATGCCCCTGGAATCCTTTCACTCAACACTGCCCGCGTATGTGGTCCCTACCCAGTCACATGGACCGCAGAGAGCCAGTGAGTCAAAGGACAGACAGACAGACACTCTTCTGGTCTTAAGGAATTAATCTGTCGCATCTTTTTTTTTTTTTTAAATCTGTAGTCTTGATGCAACTTCCGAGTTTGCTTTCTTTTTTGTTTGCTTGTTTGTTTATTGGTGCTTCAAGACAGTCTCATTGTGTCGGCTTGACTGTCCCCGCTTCCCGCTTCCCAAGTGCTGGGACTAACGGGGAGTGCCACTACGCCTGGTCTCCACTTCTTTTTTAAAAATTGAGCATCTTTTTCAGTTACAAATCTTCAGGGTAGAAAACCCAGGTCCATGGCACCACCAGCCAGAAAAGGAACTGTTTCAGATAACCTTCTAAGAATGTCATCTGAGAGCTGAACTGGGCCCCACCCTTCTTGCAAGGCCAGCTGCACACTTGGTCTGCAAAGCTGACAGCAGGTGGGCAAAACCAGCCAGCATACTGCAGTGTATGCAGATCAGTCCCTTCCTGTGGCAAGCCCGGACTGCCACACGTGCTGGTGAGGTCAGGAACTGACTCAGAGGCCTTCAGGTGCCCTCTGTCCGTAGGGCAAGAAAGACTGCATGGAAAAGAGATATGTGAGCACCATCCAGTCCACTCCACTGGTTCACATGAAGGAGCCAAAGCCCACACTCGAGGACTTGGTGCCAGGACTGGAATCACGTGGTGTTGTTGCCTCACCTCCTGACCTACGCCAGGAGTTATGAGAAGCCGTAGTAGAGTTAGATGAAAAGTCCCGCGTCCTGTGGCGTGCTCTCTGCGGCCGGCCGAAGGCCTCCTCCCCTTCCTCTACATTCTCTGCCCATCTCCTTTACCACACTTCCTCCCCTTCCAAACCTGCCATTGTGACCCAGTTTTTTTATTCAGTGGGAGCACTTCCTACCCCTGTGACATACGCAGTGACCTCAGAAGACACATACCCTCACCCTACCCCAACCCTGTCCAACAAAAGAGAAGAACTGAGGGCCCCAACCTCCACTCTCCCTGCAGATCTGCTGCTTCACAGCCATTGGCAGCTTTGCCCTGAGCCCCCAGTGTGCTTGTGACTAACAGTCTGTCTTGTACAGGCACAAAGGCCGAGGAGCAAGCTGGCACCAACAAGACAAGGGAAGGTCTTCCCCCAGAGGCACAATTCCTCTCCGTCTTTCTGCTGCACACCTGGACCCGGCTTGCAGGCTGCCAGACTCACTCCACCACCAGAGAGAGGAGCCAAGCCTATGGGAAGTGGGGAGGGACTGCCTGAGGCCCCGGCTGGTGGGCCTCCTTGTGAGCCCTGCACGCACTAGCATCTGCATTCCTCCCTCAGGGCATGGTGTCATCTCTGCAGCAGGAATTTACCAGGAGGTGGAAAAGAAAAGAAAAAGCACCGAGCCTGAGCCCGTGTGTGTTCCTGGCCTAATGGGGTTCCTCTTGGCATCTGGCCAGCACAGGGTATGCTCCCTGGTGTGGGCACACAAGTGTCTTTCCTACCTTTGACCTTTAAAAACCAACAGGTCTCCTATGCAAAGAATGCTGCAGGCCTTGCTCAGTTCTACAGACATTCACACCCTGGCTTCAGTGCTAAAAATAGTGTCCTCCCCCCACCCCCTTCCTCTCTGAACTTCCACCTGCACAGTGCTCTGCAGTACTGTTGCTCTACAGCCAGGAGGAAGGCTGAGAACTGTGTGGTCCAGTCAACGGGGAGGCAGCTGTGTGTAAGCGCCAAGCTGGGGCTGGCAGCCAGGGGGCGCACTGCCCGGATGCTGCTCACGCAGCCTCTCCCCTGGGGTCCTGTGGCACATGTGATCGCTAAGTTCAATTCACATAGGATTTTTTTTTTCTGCTCCTTGAGCTCCAGGATGTTATTTTTAGTAGAAGAGCTACTATAAATATTTATAAAGGGCAGTGACTGGAATGAAGTGAGAGGGCCCACAGCTGGCATTGCTGCATTCCCTACCCACCTCTACAGACCCCTCCCCAAATTTTGAGGTGCATGCAGAGCCGTGGCCTGAACCTGTGACCACACATGGATGGAGTCCCATGAGAATCTCCTCAAGAAGCAGTTGGGAGAACAAAGGGTGGAGGCTGTTGCATTCCATCCCCGTCTGTTTCTCCGCCTGACCCCCATTTCTAGCTGGAGTAACTCAAGGCTGAAGTGGGAGAAGGGATACGAACTTGCTGAGTCAAGGTCCTCTGGGTCCTAGGTACTATGTGTGAAAGGCAGGTGTACCATGGATTTCTGCCACTGTGAGGGCAAAAAGAAAAATAGAAGTTGGGAGCTGGCTTCTGCTCGGCTGTTACAAAAACACTTGGCTCCCTGACACACAGATGGTTGGTTAGTAGGCAGAGCTAAGGACCTGGAGGGCCAGCAGGGGCTTGAGCACAGATAGCACAGGAAGGCTACCACACTCAGGGAAAGGGGATCCCGGCTTATGGAATGCCGGAGGGGGGGCAGAGATGAAAACCCCTGTGTAGAAAGCTCTGGGGACGCACTGCACACCCCGGTGATGGAATCCATCAAGCCTCCCAGACAACACTGTGGGGTGCCTTACTTTCCCCAGCCTCTCTCTTCACACTCTGTGCCTGGGAACAGGGCAGACTCCCTCCTCCTGACTCCACACGAGACTCATGTTTCCTCCAAGGCAGCAAGAGACAGGAATAACACCAGGTACGAGGGCTGCAGAACCAAACTGCTCTCTGCTGGTCTGGGAGTGATGCTTACCTCCCTACAGGAAAAGCTGGCCACGCCTGGGCAAGGCAAGGGTCGAGGGCCAAGAACGGGGCTGCATTCGTGCCTCCGATACCAGCATCTGGGACACGATCTCTACCTTTGTTATACCAACTCTTGATTTCTTTTAGAGCTAGGAACCCATTATTAGCTAAGGCGCCTGATTTCTTGGCATCTGCTTTCAGACAAAATTCTATACTATGTCTCCCTAACCTGGAACATAGGAAGCCATTCTATGGTGGGAACTTCCTTGTTAATTTTCCATAGCCACTGAATTTAATTTAGGCAGATGGTCCAGCCTGGGTAGGCAGGCTGCTCTGCAGTGCCCTGGCCTGGATCGCTGCTGTAGGTGGCACGGGAGAACCAGATGCTCCCTGGGCCATCTTTTGTGTATGTTGATTGAGACTCTAGCTGACTTGGAACTTGTAATCTTCCCACCTCTACATCTCGAATGGTGAGATTCCAGATGTGTGCTGCCAGCCTGTGCCACCAACCTAGCCGTCCTGAGTCTTGAGGACGCAACCGCCCCTCTAGCTCTGGTGCATGACCGCAGCCATCTTGAACTTCTGTTCTTACCTGCTGTTCTTTATCTACTGGTAGACTCCTTTCCTGCACTGCCTGCTGCAGGTGCCCACCAGCTTTAGAGAGGAGCAGTTGCCATGGCAATGCCGAGTCATCTGAATCCCTGCTGCTGTGTCTGGAAGAGAAGGGCTCACGAGGAGCTGGCTGATGGGCTCCAAGCCTGACCACAGCCCATGCACTGTTCAGCAGGGGTCAGGTGTTTGTTTACAGCCGGAGTGTGGGAGTCGGGTGATTTACCTGCCTCTGGAAGACCTCTGTAGTGGCAAGTGACTCACACCCTCACAGGCTCTCAGAAACGAAGAACTCCCAGAGCAGGGTCTTAGGCAATACTCTATCCTAGTAGTTCTCAAACTGAGCAGCATCCGGGTCTGCTAGAAGCCTTGTTGATGTTGCCAGTTTCTAAGCCAGTTGCTCGGGGCTGGAGCAAGAGCTTTGCAGTTCTGTGGAGTCCCAGGTGATGTTGGTGCTCTCAACCTGGAGCCTATACTGCCAGCACCACCCTGAGCTTTTATGAGGAGCAAACCAATCACACCCATGCAGGGAAATGCATTTTTAGTCAGTCAGAAAACAGGCCAGACTCTGTTGTCTGTTCTAGAGGAAGATGTGTTAGGGAGGACTTCAGAAATCCCATTTCTTTCCTGGGACTGGAAGAGGGTACTGTGTGCTGGAACCAGCGACTCCTATACTGCATCTCTCTCTCTCTCTCTCTCTCTCTCTCTCTCTCTCTCTCTCTCTCTCTCTCTCTCTCCTCTCTCTTGATTTATTTTTAGTTATGTGTGTCTGTGTATGGGTCTGTGTACATACACTTGAGTGTAGCTGCTCACAGAGGCCAGAAGGGGGTGCTAGTGTTACAGGTGGTTGTGAACCACCCTTTGTGGATAACAGACACCAAATACGGCTCCTTTGCAAGAGCAGTCATATTCTTAACTGCAGAGCCATCTCTTCAGCCTGGTAGACTGAATTTCTCTCTCGTTTTTTAATCAATAAACAGAGGGCCTGGAGAAATGGCTCATGTCTGCTAAGACATCCTTAATTAAACATAACCAGCCACCACCTAACCCTAGCTCAGTGAGAGTCCTTAACCAGGTAACAGAACCCTGTCCCAATGGTAGCTTATAGCCATGGACACACTATCAGTTGGATCAGTAGTGTCGTGGAAGTGTGAGTAGGCTGATACATCCCATCCAAATCCATAAGGATCATGGGTGCCCATAGCCCCCAACTTCTGTTGGTGCAATAGTTTCCCTGTGAGAAGCAGAACTTTAGATTCAGCCCCTGACTTGTAACTGGTGGGGCATCTACCTCACTGGGCCTAAAGGCCACCTGTAGACACTGGGCTCATTATGTAGGCAGGCCCAAAGACATCATCAGTCACTGGTGACAAATGTGTCATCTCATACCAGGCACCAAACCCTAATGAGCAAGATCAGTAAAGAATCAGTTTGTATCCTGTGTCCAAAGCCCATAAGAGGCCTCACCGTAGCTAAAAAAAAAAAAAAAAAAAAAAAAAAAACCTGCCCAAGAATCCCATAGGACTCAGTCCTTTGCCTCCCACTGTCCCCTCCTGAGGACAGGCACTGGGGACAATGAGACTTCCTACGCCCACGCAGCCTCTGGAACCGTGCCTAGGAGAGGACCCCCCCTCTTTGGCCACTGCCTTCCTAGTGTTACCTCTCTGCGACTCACTGGTGTTTGGGTGCCTGGAAGGAGTGATTACACCTTGGGCTACTGTGAACAAAGTCAAACAGTGAGTAACAAGCCACAGGTAACAGGAACAGCTCTGGGCCCAGAGATAGGAGCCAGGCACAGATAATGGCCATGAAAACGTCTGATGGAATCCTCCACCTTCTGCCCTGCCTTTCCTCTTGGCTAGCAGTTGCTGTGGGTCCTGCTTTCATTGCCTAAGCATTCATCCTGAGCTGACCCTTCACCACCCCCCGCCCCAGCCTAACATGGGAACCCAGACCCCTGCTCCTAAGAGGGGACAGAGGCCCAAGGAGCAGCAGGTAGAAGAGAAGGAAGCGTGCAGCTGCGGATGGAGAACAGCGCTCCCTGTTCTGGAGGGTGCACTGGTGGCCTAGGGCAACCTCACTCATCCTGTACCTTTTCCGGAAGCAGCTCATTAGGTCTGGGTTTTGTCCTGATCCCCATGCCCTAGCTTGCACTGGAGACCTAGTCCCTTCACTAGTTGCCAAGCACAGGTGCTGTCTTCTCCGGCCCAGAAACTATCTGCCGCTCCCACCCCTTCACACCCTGCATCTTTCCCAGCCTAGCTCCTACACAGGGTTTCCTGGGGGCTGCATGCTTCAAGGGGGCCGCTTATCTTTGTGCTTTCAGCCATTCCGAGAGAGTGGGAATTAGATTGGGGTCATCCAGAGGCCTCAGGCCAAACTTTGCACACTGTGGGGTTTAAAGCTAGTGCAGCGGGGAGGGGCGCTGGTTTAACATTCTGTTTGCTGAGGCCCCTACCCTGAGCAGCCCAGGGCCCCACCTGGTGCTCGCTGGACTTTTCCTGCCCCCCACTTTATGACTTGGGTCTTAATCCTCTCCTGTTCTGTGGAGAGGAGACAGCTCTGTGACAAGGTCACCTGGGCTGTGCTGTGCACACACAGCTCCCCTAAGAAAAGACCTTCCACTTGGCACACCCAGGCACACCCTGCATAGGAACTCCACTTTCAGAGCTACGTCCAAGCTACACGTCCTATGCCCCGAGAGCACAGACAAGGCCAGATGGATCAGACCGTAGAACTGCTGGGACGTTTAGAAAGAGATGGATCTAACTCACTTGTCCTGTGCTTGCCTAGAATATGCCAGGCCACAGGTTCAATCCCCAGTGCCTAAATTAAAGACATCTGGGCAGGGAAAGTGAGTTCAGGTGTAATGGCTCACACATGCATTCCCAGCGTAACAGAGATGGGATTGTAGTGAGCTCAGTGCAGGTGAGATTCTGTACAGTGACGCCTTGCCCCTAGCAACAATGACTCTGGAAGAGGAATGTGTGTTGGTTGGGCTGATGGGTGTCATTTACTGACCCCAGCAGGTGGGAGTCTTCCAGGGGCTTTTCTCCGAAGGAAAGAGGAACAGTGT